CAGACATGAAGGCGTGATGTTAGCTGATGCATAGAAAAATCCTTATTAATAAATAAAAAATGGATATGTATCACTAATTATTAATACTTGGTCAAAATTCTCGACTGTCCATATCTTCTTATGGAAACGTTAAGAAATGTTTTGCAACTGTTTACCCACACACACATACACATTCTGTTTAAAGTGTTTAACAAAGGTAGACCAATATTTGTAAGTCCCAGGTAAAATTTTGATCACAGCTCATAAAATTTTGTTTATTATACTTGTTGAATGACTTATGATTGGACAAAGTTTTTAAAAACAAGTGATGTTCGCTTTATATATAAACCTCTGCTATGTTAATTTCGATTAATTTCCCTGGAGAAGTTCGGACCAGATTGCCGAACGAAACGTTGGAATTACTGATTTCAAACTCGCTGAGACTTTACAAATATAATTTTTTACAAATTTTGTGTTAGTACGTTGATATGATTATGAGCATTAATAAATTGTGCTCGAAACGTTGTCATCAATAAATATTATTGTGCATAACAACACTGTGTGATTCTATCAAAATAAATTTTACCCACAATGGAATTATACTCTACCACCACAGTGCACAAGTTCTATTCTTACAAAAATGGAGTTCACATTTCACAAGAATATCGATTACATAAAAGATTTGATGTCAGTGTAGAACTTGGGTACTTCGGTTGGATGTAATTTCATATTATAGATAAGTTTATTTGCGGTATTAATAAGAACTTGGATGAAAAGGTTTTGAGCATAAATTATTGCCACTTATAATCATCGGTCAATTTGAGTCACACGGTTTCGCAATTTGTCCTTTATATATATTTTCTCTTTTTCTGTCTCTCCAACTTCTGACTGCATGTGTGCGCTGTTGACTCGACGATAAACAAAGCTTCAGTGACCAACCTCTCCCCGTCTCCACCTCACTAAATTACTTTTAACAATCTCACCCTGTCACACCTACCTACTCTATGGTGTATGATTACACGCAAGGGAATGCAGTGCAAAGCAATGGCTGAGCTTTTTTCTAGGTTATTTAACTTATCAGGGTCAATTATTCTAGGTTTAGCTAGATTTTTCTCTTCCGATAATCTAGTTAACTGACCCCGATCTACTAGTTTGACTGACCCATGCAACAGACCTCATTAACAGTCAGTAATATATGGTATTTGGTAAATTATATTATTTTTTCCTGATTGGATCTATTGGGTCTTTAAGCTGACTAAGTTTACTTCCATTATGGGTAAATTTTTATTTTGATAGAGTCTCACAGTGTTATACAGTAATATTTACTGATGACGTTTCGAGCACAAACTATTGCTCATAATCATATCAATTATATCAATTATTACATCAATTATATCAATGACTAAGTTTACCTCTGAGAGAGTTGTTTGGTTTAAGTGCCAACCTGGCTAATTCCAAACTCACTGAGAATCTTACTACGTAAGGCCTCTGACGTTCCTTCTTTATGCGACAGTACTACAGAGGCTTAGAACCCTATATTACTTTATTATATTATGAAATATACACATTTGATCATAGGGAATAAAAAGACAGTTGCAGCGAAGAAAATTTTCTTCTCGACGAAGTCATCATCTAGGCTGTACATTCGTGTATTTATATCAAATGGATGGAAAAGTTCCAGAATAATTTCCGGTTAAGGGTCAAATTAATAAAAAATTACAATTAGGAATTAGAATGCCATAATAAACAGGGGGACGTCCTCCTGTTCAAAGCAGCCAGTCGGAAAGGTTAAACAAGGAAAACAAAAGGGACTCTGACAGTGAATTAGTCCAGTAAAAAACTGAACATACACGCAGAAGAAACATTCAACTGATATAAAATGCTAACCATAACGTCGAATAGAATCTCGAATGGGAGGTAACGAGATAGACATATATTCGAGGATGATTTGGATGAGATCATATGAAGAGTTAGTGAAAGACTATGTTAGCAGTTGTGCAGGCAGATTAAAATGATGTCGGAGAACAGAATGCAAGGGAGATGTCCTTTTGAATCTTGATGTTACATTCGGAACCCAAAGAACCAATAATAATACTAGTCTGTTTCGTCTGCTTCTTGGGAGCTTTCATCAGCTAATATGTACAGTCTAGTAGGAAAGGGATGTTGGGAATCGCAACCTATTCATTTAGTAACCTTCTATGATTTCATTCATGACTGAATGATCAGTATACGCTGCTGAAGAGATCGAAGCCAGGTCGAAAACAGGTGTCCAGGGTTTCTCAATAGAATCTATCTTAACTGCAGCTGAATTACTTCTAAATAAAGCCAAAATCAATGTTTGTGTAGCATAAGATGATGTCATCATTTATTTTGTTAAACCCTTTTCAACCACATACTACCTGAAAGATCCGTATTTTCAACTCCAATGTGAAATCAGTGCCACTATATGGATCAGAGACTTGCCGCCACGTCACGAAGGGCACTTCGAACAATTTACACACCTTTATCAACAGCTGTCTTTGCTCAATGCTACTCAAGATCAGATGGCCGGCTAAAAAATATCAGCAATTAGGAGGTATCTCTGGCAATGAACGAACCGACCCGGCAGAAACCGATTGTGTAACAAATAAGCAGGAAGAAATGGAGGTGGATTAACCATACTCTTAGGAAAACAAGCCATCAAGTGACACCCCATGCCAGACCATCGCTCGAGTGGAAGCCGAACGGGAAGCGGCGAGTTGGTGGTCAGTGCGAAGATGACATGTATGAGGTGAAGATGAGATGAAATCATGTGTACAGACATGTAGCCAAGTGAAAAGGTTGGCAAAGAGGGGAACGCAATGGAGACGCGTGGCTGAAGCCCTATGTTCTTCTAGAAACTAAAGGGAACAATAATAAAACTACATAAAAGTTAATTATGTATATGCACAGAGAAATTTCAACATATTTGCATTGGTTACATGAATTTTAGTTAATAGAGAGACATAAATATGCATGAACAATGCTCAGAAGTTACACTTATATAAATCACGCAAATTGGCGAACATCTAAACAATATACTGATACAAAAAATTAACGATGAGATATATTGACAAGTGAGTTGGCCAATTAAAGACAAGAGGTGAGCAGTTAGTGATAAGTAAATAATCAGTTGCGTAATAGTGTAGTGAGTTCAACTCAAAGTAAAAATACTGTAGCAATAACCAACAAGCTGATTTCTGTTTACCGAATAACATGCCTTTTGTTGCAATCAAAGGTTGATAGATACCCTTGATATGTTAACCCTAATTGTGTGTGCAAGGTTATATGTATCTGCAGAGAATTTGAAAGAATGGCAGATCTTAGATTCTCTGAACATGTAGCAAAAAGCCTACATCTCAAGGGAATAAATGGTTTGAATAATGCTGTTACCAGACATTTTGTTGATACAGTTCATGAGTTAAACACTTTGATATCCTGCAAGATTATTAATAGACAATATCACTCGACTGTCCTCAAATTTATAGAAGTAATCAGTATCTAACGTTTAAAAACTGGTTTATGCGTTCAGAAGAAAAATTCATCTACCAGTCTTTCCTTGCCCTGGTAGTTCGGCGTTTAATCTCTTCCTGTCATTCGACTAAATAATATATTTTGCTCTAATCCTTTCCCTCCCCCCCATTTTTCGCCTCAACATAATTTAGTTTGTTCCTGTTTTGTTCCAATAACATGAATTGAACTAATTACACTATTGCTCAACTGATTAGTTACTTATCATCAACTTCTCACCTCTTATCTTAAATTGGGCAACTCAATTTTCAATGTATCCAACCTTTAATTCTGTATGTTTGTATTCTGTTTAGGGCTTCAAGCAATCGAATTAAATTAATAAAGAAACTGTGTAATTGGAACAATCATCGTGTTGTCACTCTACGTTGTCTGCAACAGAATGCACATCGTAAATCCGTAGCTATCGAGTCACCTGACAACTCCAGTAGGTGGAATAAAGCAGCTCAATCTTCAGAAAGAAGACAAAGCAATAAGTCCGACAGGGTGCTTCTACTAAACTCCAATCCTAAACACCATAATTTTGAAAATACGTCTAATCATAAAATTCTAGATACTAACAGTGTGAACAGACATGAAGGCGTGATGTTAGCTGATGCATAGAAAAATCCTTATTAATAAATAAAAAATGGATATGTATCACTAATTATTAATACTTGGTCAAAATTCTCGACTGTCCATATCTTCTTATGGAAACGTTAAGAAATGTTTTGCAACTGTTTACCCACACACACATACACATTCTGTTTAAAGTGTTTAACAAAGGTAGACCAATATTTGTAAGTCCCAGGTAAAATTTTGATCACAGCTCATAAAATTTTGTTTATTATACTTGTTGAATGACTCATGATTGGACAAAGTTTTTAGAAACAAGTGATGTTTCTTTTAATACATAAACCTCTGCTATGTTAATTTCGATTAATTTCCCTGAAGAAGTTCGGACCAGATTGCCGAACGAAACGTTGGAATTACTCATTTCAATCTCACTGAGACTTTACAAATATAATTTTTTACAAATGTCTTCAAGCTAGAGGCTTGAAGTTTCGGTAGCAGTGATATTTATTTTATGGAATGGGATTGTCACCTCATGCCCAACCTACCCCCTTTACTATTCTTATTACTGGTTTTGTGGGGTAAAAGAGTCCGTCGGCTAGAGATTGCTGTGCCACAGACGTGTATATTGTTTAGACGTTCCCCTATCTCCATAAGTTATATAAGTGGAACTTCTGAGCATTGTTCATGAATATTTATGTGTCTCTCTATTAACCAAAAATGGTATGACCCTTGTAATTATGTGAAAATTTCTCTTTTAAGTAGTACACGGCTGAAGAGAAACAAACATAACAAGTGGTGATGTCATCTTATATTAATAAAGAGTAATACTCACAGCCTAAGATAAGGTTAGTATAGAAAATCAATTGGGCAAAATGCTCAGAAAAATGCATGAATTGTGAAATATTCATTTAATCGCTTACCTTTGGCTCTTTTTTCCGTATTATCAATTGGTTTGTAAAGTCTACTCTTGATCCGTTCTCCTCCTGTGTCTCTATCTATACTTTGAAACTAGTTCAAATATATTCCTTTTCATGATCTGGCAAAGTTCATATTTGAAATAAAGGGTCAATTATTACTATTGTTAAAGTTGACTTCAGTGTTTATCAATAAAATGATTACAGATCAGAAATTAAAAATCAGAAGATCATGTATTGTCCATGTAATTACAAACCAAAAATATGATCCGTCTACTATGTTGTAATAAACTGTTGAGATCAGTTCATAAACTAAAATAAATAAATATGAAATCGTGGTAGACATTGTGACAGCCAATCAGAATTGACTTTAGTCATTACACAACGTGTTTTTCAACCAATCAAATTAAAGGACATTTATATGTCAACGAACCAATCAGACATGTCGTCTATATATATTAGTCTTTTATATGAAATTGTTTTTATCCTAATAAGATATTTGTTGTCAGAAATAATCAACGAAAATAATATTTTGATAAATATGATATGTCGGTTAGTTGACAGTTTATCAAAATAAAGAAAAAAACCAAGCGATTTTTTTATACGTACAGATTTATATGTTGAATGTCTAATTTTTTTTGAAAACTTAAGGTTAATTGACGTGGAAACTTTGTTTTACTTGTGTTTGTATAGTGCTTAGTCAATATAATATATATTTAGATTTTACAGGCTAATTGTATTGGAAATCAATAGAAGCTATTTTTTAAGGATAAATTTATTACTGTGTGATTCTTTCTTTGGGTTCCGAGTGGAACAGCATGTCTCCACTTTATTTTTGTTCTCTGGGGTTCTCTTTACCTGGCCCCACCATTGCTTATACTTTATCACCTACTGATGAAACGATCTCCTCTATGTCACCCTCGGACACATGGTCTACCCGTCGTTTCCCATTCGGGTTCGACTCGAGCGGTGGCATGGCGTACGATGTCATTCGACTGTCTCTCCCCAATCCATCTCCATTTTCTTTTGCATATTTGTTGGATGAGAGGTTCCTGGTTGAACTGTTCTTATTATTTCTTGTCGCTAATTCTTTCCGGACTTCCGTTTGATCTTCAGCATATATCCAGAGGAGGTGGCTATTCAAAAACATTCTGCAACCTGTCGGAAATGCTTTTGGTGACGTGTAAGCCAAGTTTCTGACCCATATAGACTGAATGACTGACTGACTGACTGAGTGACTTAACATTGGTGTCGAGCAAAATCCGAATCTGCAGTGCAGAAGGTTTCCAAACCGACTTCAGACTGATGAAGGTATATCTTGCTTTTCCGCTTCTGATTTTGACATCTTCATCCGTGCAACCACCTTTAGTTGAAATGGTGGTACCTGGATAAGTGGAGGAAGAAACCTCTTTCAAATTTCTCCATTTGGTAGTGATTGATACCTGTTGTTATCGATGTTGTTGCCATTTTTTGTTTTCATCACCTCCGTCTTCTGTATCTTCACCTGGAGTCCTGTCTTTGATGCTAGCCTCTTCCGCCAGTTTGTTGGTTTTCGCCTGCAAGTCTTCGAATTTGTGTGACATTAAACATAAATCAACCACGCGCAAAATCTAAATCTTTCAGAGTCTTCTTATTGGTGGTCCAGCGTATACCTGTGTCCTCACCGCCTGTGTACAGTCTGATTCATGATCCACTTCACCCTAGTTAGGAATACCATTGGTGATAGTAGGTAACCTTGTCTTACTCATATACTCACTCCGATCGCTCTTCTGAGTTTCTCGTTGTAGATCACATGGCACGTGACACTATCTTACAGCCTTTGAATGAGATTGATAAAGATTTGTGGCACTGCACGCCGTAGTATCGAAGTAGTTTCCAAATTACATTACGGTCGACGCTGTCAATGACCTTTTCGAAGTCTTTGAAGTTGGGGTGGAATGAGGTTTGACTGCCATTCTATGCTGTGTTCGATGATGTTGCGTTGAGCTGCAATTTGATCAACACATGAATTGCCTCACCTAACTAGCTTAGTTTACTGGCTCAATAGTTTTTTAGGCGGTCCCAAGCCCGGGAAAATAAGGATGGTTGGGCGTGGGGTTAACGATCCTACCCTAAAAATCAGTCGAACGTCTACTGAAACCTCAACGCACGAGAAAAATGAAAGGAATGATATAAATGACTATTATGCAATCACTGTCGGTCTTACTCAAATACAGTTATCGGGAAAGTTAGAGATTGAACACACACTCTATCTTTCTGTATGCATAAGTTTGGTTAAAAGCGTTTTGTTGCAATCGCTTCGGTGAATTCTCGGCAAATTTAGTATCCTCTGTATATTTTTATGTTGAACGGTTTGGAAATCTCAGCAAAATATCCCGTATCTGTGAGATATCTGGTGTTTGCATTTTGGTAAATACTTGCTTTATTTTAAACAGAAATGTTTTGGAATATGTTCATAAAACAAGATATAAGCCCTTATTGTTACAACAAGTACGTCAATTGCATAATCAATTACATCAGTCATTTCAGCTCACTGCGTTAATTTCAGTCTCACGAACTAAAGTCCATTCTACACAAGTTTATTGATTAGTCATTATCTCACACTTATCACTTTGTGCCAACTTCTGCCTCTTTTCTAACTTCCAGTTAGTCACCCCGTCTAGGTTGCACCTCCCATTACCTAATGCGTTTTCTGAGGACAAAGTTTATCAGTTAATTGGTGGATGGTGACTAGCAGTGGAATCCACCAGGATGCGCATTTCATCCTATGTACCTGCATTCCCCTTTGAGTGAGTGATGATGTTCCCACCGAGGCTCGAACCCAGTGCCCATAGTCTTAAACACCAAAGCGTTATCCACTAGACCACTTGGGCCCCGAGAGCCACCTCTTGTTCAGCAGAGCACTTCGGTCCAATCAATCGACGAGATAATTGAATTAAATAATTAATATTACCCGTTGCACAAGGGGTGGCTCTCGGGGCCCATGTGGTCTGGTGTATAACGCTGTGGCGTTTGAAACTATGGACACTGGGTTCGAGCCTCGCCGGGAACACCATCACTCACTGCGGAATGCAGGTACATTCAGCTGACGAATTCAAAATAAGACAGCTGAAATGCGCATCCTGGCCGGATTCCACTGCTAGTCACCATCCACCAATTAACTTCTAATTACTTGCCCAAAAGTCGTCGAAGCATCTGCACAAGAAGCCGATATGTCAACCTGAGACCGAGCACTTCGGTCCAGTCAATCGATGGGAAAATCTAAAATTAAATTAAATTTCACTAGTATTGATTGCTTTAATGATTTCTTTGTTAAATATAATCACGATTGTACAGCTCATGACAGTGTACTGTCGAAAAGAAAATTTTCTTCTCTGTTTACGTCTTTTTTTATATCTATAGTTTTCTTTAGTTATATAACTTCACGTGCTGGTACTGGTTATTATATATATATGTATATCACTGGCTGCGGAATACGGGTACATCCAGATGACGAGCTCCAAATAGGATGAAATGCGTGTTGTCCTTGATTCCCCTGCTAGTCACCATCCACCAATGAACCGGTAAACTATGTCCTCGAAAAATGCATTACGTAATATGAGGTGCAACCTAGAAGGGATGACTAACTGGAAGTTAGAAAAGTGGCAGAAGTTGGCATGACGTAATAAGCGTGAGATAATGACGAATCAGTAAGCTTGTGTAGAATGGAATATTGTTAGTAAGACTGAAATTAACTCAGTGAGCTGAAATGACTGACAAGGATGATAACCATAATCTTTCGTCCTTAAAGTTTACCAGAATAACTCGATGACAGTGTGGTGGTGTGATATAGAAAATGTGTTGTTCCAACGGAATATGGTTCTCATATATTCACACAGTCCAATACAGCATTAGCAACAGAATACGATATATCTATTTGAACTTTCTATTTCATGTCGTTTGATGTGAACCAAAATCACAGGTCTAATGATTGGTTAGGGAAAATAAACTGCATAAATATAAACAGTGGTTTGATCGATGGAAAATATACCTTGACTTCTGTGTCTTGTCTCTGTTTGCTACAACAATAAAACCTGCCAGCGCTAATGGCTGGCATAGAGCGATAAATCGTTTTCTGAAAACAAAAGATATCATAGAGGTATATAGTGGCTTGACAGAAAAGCAAACATTTTGATTTGTCACCTACAACTGCGCAACACAAAATTTCTTATTTTGAGTACAAAAATTAAGGTACAATATGCTACCGATACCAGTCGCATTAAGAAGCAGCAGTAGGGCTTCCTATCGACATTATCTCAATGTGAGTGGTCTAAACACTAGAAAACTGTTTCATTTATTTGCAGCGAAGCTCATCAGCTGAATGCATCCACTTTCACTCAGCTCAGCTTGAAGAAAGCTGATACAAACTAAATCACTGGGATTATGGCTATCTAACTACTTCAGCGAAAAGGTGATACTTTGAATGAAATTCGCAATTTGCAATTTACACAGTTCGAAATGAAATTTCATTACAGTTTCGTATGGGAACCAAATTTATTCAGATCACGGAATATGTTAGCTGCTTGACGCCATCAACAGCAATCTGGATAGTAAAGACAAATGCATGACACGGTGTAATGACAGAAGACAAGGGGCAGGTAACAGATAGTTTTTTGCGAAAATCAAGAGATACTTATGGATTTTTATGTAAATTATTATTATTAGCGTTATTGCTAGCACAGAAGTAACGTCTTCTGATTGGTTGTTTTCTTGCAGAAGGTTATTCATCACTGCTTGAGGCCATTTCTTAGAAAGTTAAGCCACATATCTGCGAATCGTATTTGCACACGTTAAATCGGTTGTGATTGGTAGGTGAGTTCCTCGAGGTTAAGCTTTGCTATTGTTTTTTTCTCATGACCTCGATATAGGATGTGAACATTGACGTAAATTGCTGTCTACAATTTTTGGCTTGCAGCTAGCTCTCACCACAACGGTATAATATCGATTAACTGAGTGCTGACTAATAATCTGGGAATGAAAGGATGTTGCAATAGTGTACACTGTACCTTGAGAGCAAATAGGGATAAGTAATAGAGGTGTCAACTACTTTTTAGAAATATGTTTTTAAGTTAGTAGACATTCGAAAGTGAGTGTTTTGACGGTCAGTTGAACTTAGTCACGATACACTTAGCTGTACGATGTCGGTTGGTATTCGTAAGGAATAAATACACTACGGTGTGCAGTAACTTGTTAGATAAAGAAGCTGTCCAGTATCAC